TGCCTTTTAATGCCTGAGTTCAAGCCATTGAAATTCAGTGTTATTACATCCATCTGTGCATTCAGTGATGTCATCTTGTACATTTTGTGTTGGGTGTTTTCCTCCCTACCTATCTTATCCACTTGTGTTGTGTGTGTGGTTTATGTTTGCGTTCTTTCCAATATTTAGCCAACGCTATCCTGGGGGCTGTTTTCTCTTTGTTGCCCTATGTGTGGAGTTGTTCTATGTGATGGTCTCCTATTTGCCCTCAGTAAGGGTTCATCTTCTGCCCATATTCGATCAGCCAGGATCTTTTGTAGGGCTTGGTTTCCTTTTATGTATTCTTTGAGGTTTTCCTTGTCTGGGAAGACTCTTACTTCTCCTTCTATCTTAACAGATAATTTAGCCAGGTAAAGCATACTTGGGTTTGTATTGTTTTCCTTCAATTTTTGGAATATGTTACTCCATTCCATACTCTTCAACATCATTTCTTCTGATAGTCTGAAAATACCCTTATTGGGGTACTTTTATACGTAACTGTTTGCTTTCCCTAGCTGCTTTTATGATCTTCTCCTTTTCCTCATACTTGAATGATTTGACTATTATGTGTCCTGGTGACTTCTTCTTGGGAATCAGTCTTTCTGGTGTTCTTTCAGCCTCCTGAATAGTTGCCTGATTTTCATGTTTTAAGCTGGGGACGTTTTCCTGTAAGAATTCCCTTGCTATTTTCACTGTTGACTTCTTTTTTGTCTCTTGTCACAGTAGTTCAATTATTCTAATATTGTTCCTTTTCATAGCTTCAGACATGGCTCTCAAGTTGTCTTCAGCTTCTCTGGTTGTCTTATTTGACTGATTTTCCCGTTTGCTTAGGTCTGCTTGGTTAGCCTCTAGGTCACTGGTGCAATTCTCTGCCTCCTCAAGTCTGTTGGAAAGTCTGTCCGTTTGCCACTGAATTTTGTTATTTCATCCCTTAAGTCCTGAAATTCCATTTGGTGCATTCCCTTTATCTCCTCTATCACTTCATCCTTTTTCTGCAATGCCTCCCTCATATCCTGTATTACTCAAAGCCGCATTCTGAAAATTTCTTTCTGTGGCAGGTCAATATCTGCTTCTTCTGTGCACAGTTCATGACATCTTCCGGCATTGTCTTCTGTTTCTCCTGCTTTTTTGTTAAAGCTGTTTAGACTGCTTGCTGTTTACATGTTGCTTTAGAGGATCCCAGAGCCGTATTCCAGAGGCAAAGATCACTGGGCTCTCTCTTGGGGGACTCGTATGAGTGCTTCTATGAATTACCTGCCAGTAGTTATACTGAGGGGTCAGGCTATCACTATATCTTCCTGTGGTTTCACTTTTACCCTAGCCATCCACTATTCCATTATTTGGAATGTGAGTTGGATAATCCTCTCATGTGATGCTGGTTCGGTTGTTGTGGGCCCACAAGAGCATCCCTTCACTGGCTGATCTCTAAGTAGGCCTCATGGTGCTTGGAGCACGTCAGGTGGCCTGTGGCATTTCCCTCTGCAACTGGAATGCTGAGGAGGGTGTGGGGGTGTGCCCTCCCTGGTGTTGAGCTCTGTAGCTGGCAGGGGGGATTACCATAGACTGAGAGATCCCCTTTGAGGTTGGGTGGATGTTCCCAGAGTAGCATGGAGCCCCACCAGGGTTGAACAGGAGGTCTCCCGAGACACTAGTCGGGCCTCAGGGTTTAAGCTGGATATCTCCCCATGTTTGAAGGGGAGAAACCCCTGATGCTTCGAGTATGGAAGAGGACCGGCATGATTTCACCAGCTGCATGGAGAGCCAAAAAATGCGGGTGGGAGCTCCCCCATTTGGGCCTTCAGAGTTGCCCTAGGCAGAGGGGAGTGGCCTGGAGGCCGCTAGTGGCTTGTGAAAGGAAAGAGAGGAAAAGGAGAAGAAAAAGAGAGAAAGAAGAAAACAAAGACTGCAGCAACAATGCCAAGCAAACTAACACCACTCACACACACAGCTTAAATTCACAGACTATATAAAACTGAAAGCAGTATATTAAAAAAAGGAAAGAAAGAAAAGAAAACAACAAAAAGGAGAACTGAATTTGCTGTGACTGTATCAAGACAGAGAGAAGAGATAGACAAAGAGGAGGAAAGAAGAAAAATGAAAGAAGAACAAAAAGAAAAAACGAAAAACAATTTAAAAAGAAAGCAAGGAGATCAAATTTTAAAATAAATAAAGAGATAGCTGAAAAATCTTACCATAGTGAATGATCGGGGGGTGTGCAGAGTGGAGACCCAAACCCCTTTTGTAGGCCACTGGAGATCCCCGTGCAGAGGGGTCT